TGAGATTAATAAAAAACTATTGAATGAGTCAAATGGTTTATTTAACAGTTAATTATTTGTCTTTTGTGAGTCATATTGGAATGAATAAAACATTGTTATGTTACATTGACGTCAAAACCCCGAACTCACTGAAGAATAAAAATTAGGTTCAGTTTTATTGAATGCCTTGGAATAAATATCATAAACTAGTTCCAATAAAATTACTCGGTCTCCTTTTAATGGTAAAAAATTTGACTCAGATTTAATTTTCCTTCTTTAGCTTGTTATCATTTACAAGTTGCCATGTACCTATCTTGGAGACTGGATGGGACTAGAAGTGACCCAACTTTTTTCTGGAGAATTACTCTGAATCTAGACATAAATAATCTTGGATTAAAGGTTCCTCAACCCTCGTTCATACTTACGAAGATTTCAGCATTTTGACTTGATTCGACATGCTCTAACTTTTTTTCCAATGTCTGAACCAAAACTTACATACTCATGAATTTAACACGTGTCCCAACTTTCTATAGATAATTATTAAACTTGCGTATCCCTGAAACACCTTTCGGTTATCAGAGAAAACTCCTAGCTTCAAAACAGCTCAGAAAATTGAAAAAGTCAATCAGTATTTGGTGTCGGAAAGAAGCCTGTTGATAATGTTCTGCTCTGCTGCTCATCTAAAGTTCAACAAGGCTCAGGAGAATTGAAAGATTCAAGAAACCTTCTACTGTTTGAGAAATAATTGTAGAACTTGTCAAAGTTCAAAGAGGTACAATGGGAATCATTGCAATTGGCACACACTATATAAATATCCCTCGTAATGTGTCAAATCTGACACACAGTAATAGAAAAATTCTGCACTAAATAGATTTATTGGTTAGAATTTTGACTTAATACGGGGAATTTTAAAGAGTGTGTGCCAATTCCAATGATTCCAACTGTACAGGGTGGGCCAAATTGGACACTTTCTTATGGAAACACCCTTCATTTTTAGAAATAGAAAAAAATGGACCCCCCCACTCTGAAGCTCAAATTTCATGAAATCTTGATTGGTGCAAACCGCATTTTGATATCTTCAACCGTTTAGCCGCTAGAGGGCGATTCTCGATTTTGAGCAATACTGTAAAGCCTTCATAACTTTTTTGTTTATGAAAATAATTCATTTCCGTAAAGACCTTTTCGAAGCACTTTTTCAAGCAGAATTCAGTGACGTTCTCAGTTTTTTTCTGTTTAGCTTCGATTTCGAGATATTGACCAAAATCCGATTTTTTTCAATAGGATACCCTATACCGGGTGGTCCTCCGGGAATGACATCGATTGCTTATGGGAAAACTGTGAAAGGTAAAAATTTGAAAATTTGGCAACATAGCAATGTCGATGGGGGACATCCAGGTAAAATATTTTCAAGATGGCGGCATTTCCGGTCATACCGGAAGTTGATACCAACTCGGTTATTTTAAATAGAACACCCCATATATTAATGTATTTTTGGATTCTACATAAAATTCTGAGCAGATTTCATGTAATATACCCTATACCTAAGTTCAACTGTTTTGAAAATATTGACAGTTGAAAATTGACTTTTTGCAACTTTGACAAGCTGTAAAACCTAATTGGTTAATTTTAGAGGAAAACCGATTTCACATTCCTATCTTAGATTTTGATAAACTATCATTTGACACCAACTTTGAACTTAAACGGAGATTAAATTTAACTGAAATTTTTAATCATGGATTTAATTCAAAGTTGATGTCAAATGATAGTTTATAAAAATCTAAGATAGGAATGTCAAATCGGGTTTCCTCTAAAATTAATTGTTCAGGTTTTACAGCCTGTCAAAGTTGCAAAAAGTCAATTTTCAACTGTCAATATTTCCAAAACAGTTGAACTTAGGTATAGGGTATATTACATGAAATCTGCTCAGAATTTTATGTAGAATTCAAAAATACATTTATATACGGGGTGTTCTATTTAAAATAACCGAGTTGGTATCAACTTCCGGTATGACCGGAAATGCCGCCATCTTGAAAATATTTTACCTAGATGTCCCCCATCGACATTGCTATGTTGCCAAATTTTCAAATTTTTACCTTTCACAGTTTTCCCATAAGCAATCGATGTCATTCCCGAAGGACCACCCTATATATTAATAGTTCATTAGAAAGCTATGCTTTTGCTGAATTCAATGATATAAAGTTCGACAGGTTTATCTCTAACAGTTTTCGAGAAAAAAATTATTTCGGTTTTTGTCATAAGAAACAATGTGTTAGCAAGAGACCTTTCTCAGTTTCCTTACAGAGATAAAGTCCTTTTCCAACACATTGTTTCTTATGACGAAAATCGAAATAATTTTTTTTCTCGAAAACTGTTAGAGATAAACCTATCGAATTTATATCATTGAAATCAGCGAAAGTATAGCTTTCTAATGAACTATTAATATATAGGGTGTCCTATTGAGAAAAATCGGATTTTGGTCAATATCTCGAAATCGAAACTAGACACAAAAAAACTGAGAAGGTCACTGAATTCTGCTTGAAAAAGTGCTTTTAGAAGGTTTTTACGGAAATGAATTATTTTCATAAACAAAAAAGTTATGGAGGCTTTACAGTATTGCTCAAAATCGAGAATCGCCCTCTAGCGGCTAAACGGTTGAAGATATCCAAATGCGGTTTGCACCAATCAAGATTTCATGAAATTTGAGCTTCAAAGTGGGGTGTCCATTTTTTTCTATCTCTGAAAATAAAGGATGTTTCCATAAGAAAGTGTCCAATTTGGACCACCCTGTACATGGGCTACAGCTATTTAAGAAAAATGTACTGATGCTCTTGAGGTTAGGCTTCAAATATCTCAGAAAATTTCATTTGGTGTCGGAGAGAAGCCTATTGAAAATGTTCTGTTCTGCTGCTCATACCAAGCTCAACAAGGCTCAGAGTATTGAAGGATTCAAGAAATCTTCTACTGTTTGAAAAATTATTGTAGAATTTGTCAAAGCTCAAGGAGCTACATGGGCTACAGCTGTATAAGAAAAATGTACTGATGCTCTTGAGCTTAAGCTTCAAACAGCTCAGAAAATTGAAGAATTCAATCAGTGTATATCGTGTCTGTTGAAAATGTTCTTTTCTGCTGCTCATCCCAAGCTCAACAAGGCTCAGAAAAATTGAAAGATTAAAAAAACTACCTACTGTTTGAGAAATAATTATAGAACTTGTCAAAGTTCGAGGAGCTACATCGGTTACAGCTGTATAAGAAAAATGTACTGATGGTCTTGAGCTTAGGCTTCAAACAGCTCAGAAAATTGAAAAAGTTAATCAGTATCTGGTGTGCGAGAGGCTCAGAATATTGAAAGATTCAAGAAACCTTCTACTGTTTGAGAAATGATTGTAGAATTTGTCAAAGTTTAAGGAGCTACATGGGGTATAGCTATATAAGAAAAATGTATTGATGCTCTTGAGCTTAAGCTTCAAACAGCTCAGAAAATTGAAGAATTCAATCAGTGTATATCGTGTCTGTTGAAAATGTTCTTTTCTGCTGCTCATCCCAAGCTCAACAAGGTTCAAAAAAATTTAAAGATTAAAAAAACTACCTACTGTTTGAGAAATAATTATAGAACTTGTCAAAGTTCAAGAAGCTACATTGGCTACAGTTGTATAAGAAAAATGTACTGATGGTCTTGAGCTTAGGCTTCAAACAGCTCAGAAAATTGAAAAAGTCAATCAGTATCTGGTGTGCGAGAGGCTCAGAATATTGAAAGATTCAAGAAACCTTCTACTGTTTGAGAAATGATTGTAGAATTTGTCAAAGTTTAAGGAGCTACATGGGCTACAGCTATATAAGAAAAATGTATTGATGCTCTTGAGCTTAAGCTTCAAACAGCTCAGAAAATTGAAGAATTCAATCAGTGTATATCGTGTCTGTTGAAAATGTTCTTTTCTGCTGCTCATCCCAAGCTCAACAAGGCTCAGAAAAATTGAAAGATTAAAAAAACTACCTACTGTTTGAGAAATAATTATAGAACTTGTCAAAGTTCAAGGAGCTACATTGGCTACAGCTGTATAAGAAAAATGTACTGATGGTCTTGAGCTTAGGCTTCAAATAGCTCAGAAAATTGAAAAAGTCAATCAGTATCTGGTGTGCGAGAGGCTCAGAATATTGAAAGATTCAAGAAACCTTCTACTGTTTGAGAAATGATTGTAGAATTTGTCAAAGATCAAGGAGCTACATGGGCTCCAGCTATATAAGAAAAATGTACTGATGCTCTTGAGCTTAAGCTTCAAATATCTCAGAAAATTGAAGAAGTCAATCACTATCTGATGTCGGAGAGAAGCCTGTTGAAAATGTTCTGTTCTGCTGTCCATAACAACCTCAACAAGGCTCAGAATATTGAAAGATTCAAAAAACCTTCTACTGTTTGAAAATTGATGGTAAATTTTGTCATAGTTCAAGGAGCTACATTGGCCACAGCTATATAAAAAAATGTATTGATTTAAACTTAGGCTTCAAACAGCTCAGCATAAAATAATTACTGAAGAATCATCTACAATGAAACAAGTTTATATCGAACCTCTATGAGTTTGTTTCACAATTTTCTAGCTCCCATTGAAAATTTAAAATCATTTCTACATAGACTTCCCAGGCTTCTTAATAAACATATTATATCTCGCCCATTATATCTCAAGTACACCGTTAGTAGGTTGTAATCGACCTTTATCGTCCATTTAAGGGCTTTTTACGATGCCATCCAATTAAATATTACAAATCCCACCATAATTACCCATAAGGAAACAACTCATACGCACACACAACCTTCTCTGGGTCTTAATTTCATTATCTGCTATTAAGTTACCGTGTGGTACTATGAGTACTAATAAGATCCGTTTTTATTTCGCTCTTCATGCACCGTGAACATAATTTTATACCGAGTGAATGCGTAAGTTACTCTCAATATGGAAGTTTCCTTATAAACATGAGGCGACTAATTAGTTTTTCGTAGACGTCATGTTTTTTTCTCTTGTTTACAGGGTAAAGAACTGAAAAACGACGAACGCACTAGCATCACCTCGGGTGATGGAGTTTCTTGTCTTCTCTTGCAAAACATCACAACTGACGATAGTGGCAAATATGACGTTACTGTTGAAAATGATTTCGGATTGGATTGCCATTTCGCTTCGGTATCCGTAGAAGGTGAGAATTTCCTTATATTAGTAATTCTGCGGCCTCAGGTCAGTTGTCGGGTAACTGAGCAATTGTTTTTAAGTCTTATTCTAAAATGGTACCCATACATCTACTGACAATAAGACACAATTTCTTTTTAACTATCCCCCCAATATTGTTTCTAGGTCCTCCAGATCCACCAAGTGGTACTCCAACTATAACAACCGACACAGATACGGTAACGGTAGCTTGGAGCAGTTCCCCATACGACGGAGGCAAAAAAGTCCAAAGCTACGCTGTAGAGTACACTCTGTTCGGTAGCGATATTTGGACGACAGCTGTAGACGATTGTACGTACCTGAGTCACGTGATTGGCGGTCTACAGCCGGGAGGTCGGTACGTTTTCAGGGTGCGAGCCTGCAACGAGATCGGATGGAGCAGGCCGAGCCTCGAATCTGATATCGTACAGCTAGAGGAACACAGTGAGTAGTAATTTGAAAGCGATAGCTGTCTAATTTCGACACACAATGCACGAGATAAATTTAATTTTAATGAACTATTGTTAAAATGGTTAGGGTGCTACCTTATAGGTGCAAGAAAAACTCGATTAATCTTGGTAGGGCAAGGTACAGTTGATTACAGGTTTTCAATCAATCTGATTCAGGATTGAAAGGGCCTTTATCTTTTATCTCTCATAAACTATAGTGGAAAAATTTTCAAGTCGATTCGTTATTCTGTTGTATAGTGAGTCTCTAATTTATTGTTTATCTTAAACTGTTGGTAAATGTTCATAAAATAGGTTTAGTATAAACTAACGCTTTAGTTAGTGAGGATGTAAAAAGTTTCTGTGCACAGTGATTTTATAATATTTAACACATGGAAGGTTTGTTTATTATTTACTCACATAGAAAAATACACTTCCAAGCAACAACAGATGCTGCTTCAAATTTTTTAAGCTCTTCTGATTAGTTCCTTATCTATTCGTAGAAAAGCTATGACTCCATCATCATCTACAGATTAAAAATGTCTTCGTTAAGCTGAGGATCAACAACAGATATTTCTGCAACAGTTAGAGTCACATATCTTTCAAAAGAACAACTTTTTTGGCTGTAACACTGTAACACTTTCCCAGATACTTAATTCTTCTTGGAATTTCATTTTCAGTCATTGTTTCTTCGCCAGAAGTTCGATTTATTCACTTTCCTCTGCATCTAAGTAGTTTTTGTTAATAGAATTTAGAATTTCAATTAGCCATTTGTGTTCGTAGTCTCCTCGAAGTAATTATTTCTTAAGTAATATTTTCTGAAGTTTTAGATTTTTGAGTAGGTATTATTGTTATATTCCTTCTACAGCTACAACTACTCTGTTGAAAACTCCTTGAAACTCTACTAAAGCCTTGCTAAAAGTTTTAGAGTCGATTATTTCTTTGTCACAATCTGATAATTCTGTTATTGTTGCACCAGTTTCTGTGGCCTCAGACTCTGTTAAAAGCTATTTTCTAGAAATTTTTCTTAAGTCCTGTTCTACAAATTTTGTAGCTTCACTCAGTAAATACATCCAAATACAGCATTATCATAAATTCAAACATGTTACATGTTTTGGCAAAATTCGGTCCACCATGCACAAATGGCACTGGAAGCTATAGGCAATACCAACATACACCGTTTAGGGTAGGTATCTGAAAAGACTTGCAAGTAACTTGGAGGGTTAAAGGAGGTAAAACTAATAATCGCAATTCATCGAAAAAAGGGTTTTTGTGAAAATATGGATATTTCCACCCTAGTCTCGGGTACAAATGGTCCTGGAAGTTATAACAGTAACAATATACACCGTTTAGGGTACCTAAAAAGACTTGCAAATAACTTTAAGTGGTGGCTATAACTTTCAGTAAAATCTGTTTTTTTTTTTTTAAAGATAAAAGTCAAAATGACATTATGTTGGCAATACAATGTAAAATTGTCAATGCTTTCAAATTTTTTATGTAGAAAAGGCTTGTGGTGCCAACATAGTTACTAAATTTTTGACTTGGAGAATTATCTTTAAAAATAAAACAGACTTTAGGTACCATTTGTACTCGAGACTAGCGTGAAAAGGTCCATATTTTCATAGAAACCCTTTTTTTCATGGATTGCAATAACTAGTTTTACCCCTATAAACCACCCTCAAAGTAATTTGCATGTCAAGTGAGGTACCCTAAACGGTGTATATAGGTACTGTCTATAACTTCCAGTACCATTTGTACCCGAGACTAGAGTGGAAATGTCCATATTTTCACAAAAACCCTTTTTTCGATGAATCGCAATTATTAGTTTTAATCTAAGGTTTTACCCCCTTAACCTACCCTCAAAGATATTTGCAAGTCTTTTAGGGTACCCTAGACGATGTATATTGGTAGCAGTACCATTTGTGCCCGAGACTAGGGTGGAAATGTTCATATTTTCATGAAAATCCTTTTTTTCATAAATCGCAATAACTAGTTTTACCCCTATAAACCACCCTCAAAGTAATTTGCAAGTCAAGAGAGGTACCCTAAACGGTGTATATAGGTACTGTCTATAACTTCCAGTACCATTTGTACCCGAGACTAGAGTGGAAATGTCCATATTTTCACAAAAACCCTTTTTTCGATGAATCGCAATTATTAGTTTTAATCTAAGGTTTTACCCCCTTAACCCACCCTCAAAGTTATTTGCAAGTCTTTTAAGGTACCCTAGACGGTGTATATTGGTACTGCCGGCAACTTACAGTACCATTTGTGCCCGAGACTAGGTTGGAAATGTTCATATTTTCACAAGGTTAGGAAAATATACAGGGTAGTCCAACAAGCGCACCTCGGTCAATAGTAGCCAAACCGTTGAACTTATGGAAAAATGTTTTGTATAAAAGTTTCAGCATTTCATCTCTGCTATCACCCAAAATTATTTTTAAGTATACAGGGTGTCTTAAAAAAGAGTAATCACAAATTTTATGTTTTTTTTTTAAATGGAATACGGTATGTTTTGGTGTGGCAAATGAAGCCTCTATATGCTCTGTAATCAACTTTGAAATCGTATTTGGGTTGAATGCAGCGTTGCCAAGTTATGATTTTTCGAAAAGTATAGTAATTTGGTAGTTTTACCTGGAAAGTTTTTTGACAGTTTTGAAAATTTTATAGGTTTAGACGTGTTCTTTCAGAATTCCTACTTTGCCACCTCGTATTTTCGCCGCACGCGCCGCCATATTGAAAAATTTCGCCAAAAAAAAAACAGGCTAAAAGGGTAAGGTGGTTTGCCGAGGGAAGTCATGAGTGAAGGCCTTTACCAATTTTTATAACTATTTTTATATTAATGAGAAAGAAAGGAGATATTGTGAAGAACCTGTTTTTTTGGCGAAATTTTTCAATATGGCGGCGCCAGCGCCAAAAATACGAGGTGACAAAGTAGAAATTCGAAAAGAACACGTCTAAATCTATAAAATATTCAAAACTGCCGACAAACTTTCCAGGTAAAACTACCAAATTATTATACTTTTCACCGTTTTTTGTGCAAAGTTAAGGGAAAATCCTAATATCTCAAAATATTAATGAGATAAATACGGCAAATATGATATTTTCTCAAAGAGGACATTTTCAGCTTTTCGATAGAAAAATAATATACGGGGTGTTGTATTCGAAAAACTCATTTAAAATGGACTTTAAAATTGAAAATATTTTGGACACCCTGTATACTTAAATCGAAAAATGAAGATAATGTACGGGCAACTAGACTAACATTAATTTACATGTAAATTTTCAAGGGAAATTAATGTACAGTGGCGGATATATGACAATTTTAAAAAAGTATGTTTTGGTCTATTTTTTTCTTCGAAAAATCATAACTTGGCAACGCTACTTTCAACCCAAATACGTTGAAGTTGAATACAGAGCATATAGAGGCTTCATTTGCCACACAAAAACATACCGTATTCCATTTAAAAAAACATAAAATTTGTGATTATTCTTTTTTGAGACACCCTGTATACTTGAAAATAATTTTAGGTGATAGCAGAGATAAAATGCTAAAATTTTTATACAGAACATTATTCTATAAGTTCAACTGTTTGGCTACTATTGACCGAGGCGCGCTTGTTAGACTACCCTGTATAACGTTTATGTAATGGTAATAATATAACGATGTTTGCTGGGTATTCGGCGATTAAAAATGGAAACGTTCTCCTGAATGAGAATATTCCCGGAAATTTTCAATCAAAAACTCTCTAGAGAATATTTCCTCCGAGAATATTTCCAAGAACTTTCTAGAAGAATTTTATATAAATGCCAGATTATTGAAAATACAAGATCTCAGTAACGTCATTTTAATTTATGTGGATGACGTAGCCCTGTTCAACTATCTTCACGGAAATGCTAATCCACTTCACTTTCTGATTGTCCACAGTTACTTTTTGACCAGAAAGTACATGATCTAGGTACTGAACTTCCTCTTGAAAAAGGTGGGATTTCTTTGGACTGAGCTTCAAACCGGAATTTCCTAGTCTCTAGGAGCACCTCTTTTAATTTCATCGTGTGGTCCTCAAACGATCTTACGACCACAATTATGTCATCGAGGTACACTTAAGTAAGTTGACCAGGATAAGACCTTTAAAATAGTTTCCATGAGCCTTTCGAAGGTAGCGGGAGCATTACACAATCCAAATGGCATGACGGTGAATTGCCATAATGCAGTTCCGACAGTGAATGCAGTATTTCCCTTATCCTCTGTGCCATTTCCATCTTCCAAGTCGAGAAAATCTTTGATCCAGCCAAAGCGTCCAGTGTGTCATCAATACGAGGAAGTGGGTAACTATCTTTCATCGTTACGTTGTTCAGTTGGCGATAATTCACACAAAATCGGGTTGAACCAGTTTTCTTCTTAACTAGCACCACCGGCGACGACCGCATGGACTGGTAGAGGGTTCGATTTCTTCTTTCACCATATCCGGGATTATCCTTTCAGCTTCTTCTCTTTTAGCCAAGGGTAATCTTCTTGCCGAGTGACGAATTGGCTATGCATCCCCAGTGTTGATTTCATGTTAAAATACTTTTGTTCTTCCCTCTCCTTCTCCAGTATCGAAAACATTGCTGTCTTAATAGGTCCTTCAACTTTTCCCTTTGCTTCTTATTTAAATGCTTTGAGAACTTAGAAATTAACATTTTCATCTCATCTGTGAACTCATGGGTGGGTAACTCTGTCTGCTGAACACGCCAAACCGCAGAGGAAACTAACGAGCAGTGTCCCATAACCATTCCTTTCTTCAAAGCCACAGAGTATTAATTCACGTTCATGACTCTGATGGACACACTTTTTTTGGCATGCAAGAGGGTCTTACCAATGCAATTCCTCGTTCAATATCGGCGTCGTGTATTCTGAGCTCAAACATCATTGTGTCTCCCTTCTTTACATTTCCATCGAAGCGAGCCATCAAGATCGTCTAGCTCCTATCTGATATCGAATAATCTTCTGCCAGTGCCCAGTAGTACACGGCTCAGCCGTTTTTCCCATGTAGTATCATTTCTTCATTATTTACCGTCAGAGTAACATTTTTAAAATCCAGTTGAAATCCTCTGGAATTTATGATGTCCATCCCAATGCTTATTTATTTCCTCCTAAATATCTGCAAAATCTGATGTTGGAAGTTGGTACTTCCCAGCTTCACTCGAACGTCTACTTCGTCATGTATTTTTACCGGCTTTCCTATTGCTGTTCGTAGGTGCCAATTTGTAGTTTTGATTTTGGCTGGCTTTGTGACAATATCGGGCCTAATAATGGTTTTCGTCGCGCCTGTATCTATCAGCGCTTTTCACCATTGATTAATCCATCAACGAAAACGCTGTTCCAGGTTGACTGTATAGGTACCTATGTTTTTTTCTTGGTTTTGGCGCACCGGTACTTATGGGTTGAAAATATGAAAAAATTTGCTTGCACCATCTGATACCTAAATCTGTTATTGTTGCATCAGCTTTTTTTGAAGATTCTGAAACCTCAGATTCTGTTAGAAGGTATTTTCTAAGCGTTGTTCACGAGCCCTGTTCTACAAATTTTGTAGCTCTACTTAGTACATCAAAATGCAGTATTATCTTAACTAAACTAGTCAAAACGAAATAAGGACCACTTTTGAAAATACCCTCATTTTTATTGAATTTTGAATAAGCATGGTAAAGTGTTTATTTTCATTCACAGTATAAATTTTTTGTGCACACTTTATTTGTTTATCTATATTGTAAATGGAAATAGTCACTTTACCAGGGTTATTCAAAATTTATTAAAAACCAAAGTGCTCTTAAAAGTGGTCCTTATTTCGTTTTGAGTAGTACTATATATTGCCTGAAAATTCTTCTACGATAACTGCCGATTTTTCTCCAAAGTTACCAGTTATTAGAAAATGAAAGATTCGATTCATTCATTTTTCAGACGAATGTTCTTCGTTCGAGCACCGTCTCGTCGTAACAGAACCAGGACCAGAATTCAAAGCCCGATACGAAGTACAAGAAGAACTGGGCAAAGGCCGATTCGGTGTCGTCCATAAAGTCGTCGACAAAACCACAAATCAAAAACTTGCCGCCAAATTCATACGATGTAGAACGCAAAAGGACAAAGACAAGGTCCAAAAAGAAATCGATATAATGAATCTCCTCCATCACCAGAAACTCCTGCAATTAGCCGCAGCGTTCGAAAACCCCAAAGAAACTATCATGGTAATGGAATACATATCTGGAGGTGAACTATTCGAACGAGTAGTTGCGGACGATTTTACTCTGACAGAAAAAGACTGTATATTGTTTATGAGGCAAATTTGCGAAGGCGTTGCCTACATGCACACTCAAAACATCGTCCATTTGGATTTGAAGCCTGAGAACATCATGTGCCACACCAGGACTTCGCACGAAATTAAAATAATTGACTTTGGATTGGCACAAACGATCGACCCTGATGTGCCTGTGAGGGTACTTTTCGGTACCCCTGAGTTTATACCTCCGGAAATTATCGGCTACGATTCGATTGGGGTGGAATCCGACATGTGGTCTTTGGGAGTTATTTGCTATGTATTGTGAGTAGTTTTGAAGGCAACTAAATTTTTTTATTAATCATTTAAATGTGTATATTAGGCTTTCTGGATTGTCGCCGTTCATGGGTGACACTGATTCTGAAACTTTTGCCAACATCACCGAAGGAGCTTATGACTTTGAAGATGAAGCTTTCAATACTGTGTCGCAAGACGCTAGGGATTTCATTGAGGCTCTTTTAGTCAAAACAAAAGAGTAAGAATTATATTTATTATCTATATAATGAATAATAATGGTTTTTTAGGAAACGCCTCTCAGCCGAACAATGCTTGAAACACGTCTGGTTAGATCCAGACAACCATCAGGAAACTGTGGTTTTATCCACTGATAAGCTGAAAAAGTTTATTATTAGAAGAAAGTGGCAGGTAATATTGTTTTCCATCTTATATTGCATGTATGTATTTTGTTGTTTGTGCATCTTTTTTTAATCTCGCTTTGGTTTTTTATTGCTAACTCAGAAAACTGGTAACGCTATACGCGCCCTTGGCAGAATGGCAACTTTGTCAGCTAGCAGACGTAATAGCGCCAACTCGAACCCAACAACTCCAAGAGCTTCTATATCTGGAAGTTTGGTGCCGCGCATGAGCAGCCTGGAAGAAGAAAAACTCCTCAAAAAAGTCGAAAGTGCCCGAATTATAACCGATTCATTTGATGAGAATGATGAAAATACGAAAAACAATTTAATCAATCAAGACGAATCACAATTTGATAGTTACAATAGTCATAAGAATGTAAATTTAAATGAATCTCACCAAAGACTAGCATCAACAGATTCGGTTGAAACATCTGACGATATACTCACTCAACTTCCTGATTCTGAGCAAACTTACAGAACCAAAAAAGAAGTTAGAGCGAGAGCTTGCAGCGAACGTAGCGATAGTGGAATAAGTGATTGTTCCACTCACACTCATATGACTTCAAATAGTTGTAATTCCACTCCGTTATTGGGCAAAAAGTTTCAAATTAATGAAGAGGAAACCTACGTATCTTCAACAAGTATTAATTTGAGAGCACATAAAGATGCTTCTAGGGGAAGTTCTGAAGAAAGCGATTTAAGTAAAAGCAGTGATGACTTTAGAAATGGGTTAGTCAAGAAGTTTAACGGAGGATTAGGAAGTAAAATTGACAATTTTAATGCTACATTAACTGCTAAGAGTGAGTTGTGTTTTTTTTTGTTGTTTCAAAATTTTTTCATTCAATATCAATATAAATTATTTCTTTAGGTAAACCGCAATCGTCAGAGAGCCTGAAACGTCTCACCATCTACTCGTCCAGAACCGTTCAAGGTACCATAAAAAAATTCGACCACCAAAAAGAAGATTCTTCACCTATTTTAGACAAACCTCCATTAAATTTAGCTCAAAAAACCTACAACCAATCGCCAATTTTATCCAGGAAACCAAAAACTGACACCCCTCAACCAAAAATCACTGTTCAACGGTCGCTTAGTGCGGCTAGTGAAGCTTCAACCAAAAACCGCCCGTCCAAAATCGACCACTTTGTTCAAAAATTGGAAAAAAATCACGACGATGGCGTTTTTACTACAGCCAAGCCTACAATAAGATACAGAAGCCCTTCGCCCAGTCTCCTAAAGAAAACTCAAGCGGTCATCAACAAAGAAATGTCCAACGAAGGTTTTAGGGCTAAACACAATCTTAGTAATGGCAACAGTAAAACAATGAGAAGTAAAGGCAACAGCGAATGTTTCCAGAAAGCTGCAGCATTTTGGAACAGTCCCAAAACTTAAAAGACTATTGTTTGTTATATTTATTGTAGTAAAAAAGATACTCTATTTTTGTGTTACCCTTTTTAATTACTATATTTTGTTTGACAAATCGTATCCTCCTATATAAAGTAGATATATCTATATAATTATTATTATTTTGTGAATATTTTATGATGTAGTATTAAAATAAAGAGTTATTTTATTAAAAATAGTGATCTTGGGTTGTTTTGTGTTTGAAATATTATTTTACTGTACCAATGTATTGTCTGGCCAGTGGATCTGAAGCTACGGAAGAAATCCCTACGAAAATGTTCGATTTGCCACGTTTAATTATAAAAAAGAAAAATACTATACAAGAAAATATTGATAATATAAGAAAACGCTTGATAGATGTATTTGTATTTATCAGTTGATTTCTTTTATTTCGTCTATGATACCATGTCAATTCGGCAAACATGTATCTTGAAATATCGACTTACATATATTGATACATCCAGTGACAGGGGTTTGGTCACATTGTCGATTTTCGTGTGTGAGTTGCACTCACACGAAACTAAATCGATAATTAGGTGAATCAAATAAGTATAGCATAGATTGATTGCAGATGAACAAAACATAAAAACCCAAGAAATCATCGAGTCGGATTCCCATAAAGTGTAGAAAAATTTGCCAGTTATTGAATTGGCAATTTTGTATTTTTTATAATAAATGCCTACTCGGAAAACTATTAAGTGAACTGCTTTTACCTAGTTATATTGCAGTTTATTACTTAGTTTATTACATAGTTTAAAATGCATCACCGACGCTACTGGATCGTTCAGTATCTTCGGCATTTTGTCAGATAAACTTTTGTCAGGGAAACTTCACAGTGGTTATGGAGTTTGGGGAGTCCCGAATGATCATTTAGACACAAAACCATTCCATGGTAGGGGTAAAACCTGATCTAATAGAAATCATTATATGAACCTTCTTTTTTGGCCTAAGGGTGTTGCTCTCCAAAGGTTTAATTTTGCTCTTGGGCGTAATTTTTTAGACCTGAAATAGCCTCTCACGCTCACTTTAGTGAATCTACCCCATAAGGATCTATTTCAAAAAAATGTACAAGGATTTTCAACATAAACCTTCAAAGCTTAGACAATAAAGTACTTGAGTTCCAAGTTACTCTATCTGAGTTGCGTCCGGACATTGTAATCATCACAGAACACTGGTTCAAGGACGACGCTATAAATTTGGTTAACATGGATAAATATATGCGGTCTAACTTCAGTGGTCGGAGTATTGCAAGAGGTGGTGGTACTGCTATATTCTTTCAAAATTCTTTTGCTTCTAGAAAGATGGTACCAACACAAGTTTCTCCAATGGAAAAGGACTTTGAGTTTTGTGTATCTGAATGTATCTTGAATAATTTATTTTGTGTTCTTGTGTCTATTTACTGTTACACTTATTAGTTGGCGGTGATTTTAATTTCAATTTTCAATGTCAGAATGATGAAAACGTTACACTTTTGCTTGGCCTATTTGAGAGCTATGTGTGGAGCTATGGCTTGGTTCCTCACGTCAATCAAAATACAAGAGCTACCTCTTATAATGCGTCTCAGTTGGATAATATTTTTTCTAACATCAATATTGACCTTTTACTTCTATCAACTGTGCATGTATGTGACTTGTCTGACCATTAAGAACAGGTGCTGGATTTTGGGATGCCCAAAGGTTGAGTCCCTGCCAAAGTATATTAAGAAAAGAACATTTAGTTTATTTTTCTAATTATTTGTCAAATAAGGATTGGGATGAGGTGTATCAGTCAAATGGCGTTGAAGGAAAATACTCAGCATACTTCAATATTTTCAATTACCATTTCAATATTGCATTTCCGATGTCTTCCACAAAAGTAAAAAATAATAAATCATCTTGGATAAATTTTGAAACTCGAAAATACTCTAATTACATTAAAGACCTATACCTACGTCTGGTATAAATGCACAAACTGTAGGGCTCATTTATGACATTTATAAAAAGGAAAGAAAGAAATATAAGAAGTTTTTATCTGATTATCATGAGTCAATCAATGACAATAGAATAGCAAACTCAAATAATGAAATAAAATCTGCGTGGGCGAATCTAATAAAAATAAAACTAAAACAAATATCTCACTGAAGATAGATGGAATGTCAGTGGATGATCCTAACTCCTTGCTCAGCTCTCTGCTGATCATTTTGATCTGCCTTTTCATCCCTTGAATATGTTATTGAAAATAATGGTAACTATCCATCAATTTTTTTGGAACTAGTTGACCCACAGGAGATTTTCAGAATTTTGATGTCGCTCCCTAATAAGTATTCTTCGGGTCTTGATGGAGTTCCTGTCTATGTGTTAAAATTTGTAGCTCTCTGTGTGTCTGAGCCTTTGTCTGATGTTGTTAATGAGTGTCTTTCCACTCAAGTATTTCGTGATGTTTTTAATTAAAAGGGCTAAAGTGCTTCCAGTGTTTAAGAAAGGAAATAGTCAGGATATTGGAAACTACCGTCCAGTATCAGTTCTGCCTGCTGACTCTAAAGTGTTCGAGAGGATTATTTATTCAAGAGTGTTGAATCATCTGGTTAGACATAACATATTAAGCAAGCGACAATTTGGATTTATTCCTAAAATGTCTACTGATATGGCAATTTTCCATGCAATAAAATATATAACTGATCAATTGGATAAAAACTCCAAGGTTCCAGGCTTTTACTTCGATTTGTCTAAGAGTTTAAGGTATTCGATACGGTTGACCATTCTCTGATGCTGTGCATACTGAAGCATTATGGTGTTAAAGGTGCTGCAGCGGATCTGCTGAAGTCTTAGCTGTTGGGCAGGAAGCAGGCTGTTTGTGTTGTTAGGGATGGTGTTCAGTCTTTTCTGGAATGGCCAGTTTAAGGCAGGGTTCCATCCTAGGTCCCATGTTGTTCTTGTTTTATGTCAATGAATTGGCTAAGGGGTTTCCGTCTGCGGTCATCTGTCAGTTCGCCGATGACACCTCTATTGTGGTAGCTCGATCTAATAATGGCGACCTCTCCCGCAGTTGTTCGGATGCCGCCCTGAGGATGAAAGAATGGTGTATTGGTAAAAACCTGAACCAGAGTTTGAACACCAAGAAAACAGATTTAATAGTTTTTTCCAAGACTGAAAATAACTTGGAGTCTCTTCTTGTTCGAATGGATGGAAGGACTGTTCCGCTCATTGATCACATAAAGTTTCCAGGACTCCATATTGACCCTAATCTGGATTGGGGAGTTCATATTGATTCGCTTCAGTTGAAGTTGAGTAGGTTGTGACGGTTGTGTGGTTTACTGAGATGACTGAGACTGGTCATTTCACCCGAGTTGGTTCGGCTATTCTACTTTGGTCAAATCCAATCAATCATTAGTTATGGAATATGCTTTTGCAAAAAGGGCACCACTCGTTTTCAGACTTCAGAAGCGGATCTTGAGATGTATTCTGGGCCTACAGCCTAGAGCCTCTTGTGAACCATTTTTGACTGAGTTGGGCGTGCTGACTGTTCCATCACTGTACTTTGCATCCTTGGTGATGTTTGTGAAGCGGAATATTCACATGCTTCCTACCAACCAGGCATATTATGGAGTTGATTTGGTTATGTCGACCAGAAACAGGGGTGACTTGAGTATTCCTCTCCACTGCTCAACATTTTTTGAGAAGGGCCCTTACTTCATGGGCATTAAGGCTTATAGAATGTTGCCAGACAACATAAAAGCAATTGAAAATGTGGATAGGTTTAAGCAATCAGTTTACCAGTGGTTGCACCTCAAATGTTTTTACTGTTTCAAATTTACATTTTAGTAGGTACTGTTTTTTGTAATGTGTAGCAAAAATCCTATATTTGTTCTCATGTATTTTATTTTATTTTAGCATTGTATGCCAACAAATTTTTAAGTATGTATTTTAAGTTATACCGTATCGAAGCTGCGCTGCTTGGATCAGCCTTGTGACGTTGCTTGTATTGTTTTTATACAATTTTTGTTGGCATTAAAGAATATTATTATTATTATTATTATTATTATTATTATTATTATTATTATTATTATTTTTTTCCTGTGTCTTTCACGTATTCAATTATACGGCAATTGGCTTAACATCGGCTGATAGGCAACATGAGAAGCATACTATTTTAGGTTTAGAAAGTTACTCACGGTACAGCAGGTATTGAGGACTACAGATTTTTGCATCTCTGGAATAAGATTTTTAGTAAGACCTATAGTAGATAAGCTCTCTATTAGTGATTTAGGTATGTACTAGACCGGTTGTGGAAAGGACTACAGGTATCACCTGTACTTTTTGTAGTTGCCACTGTTGCTTTATTTCTTGGGCCAGATCAGCATACTTTGTAAGTTTTGTTTGGATAGTTTCCTGCATAATTATTGTTGGAGTTTGGTACAGCGATGTCAATCAGATACCCCACTTTTTGTTTTTTGTTGACGAGGGTAATATCTGGGTCTATTGGCAACAATGTGTCTATCAGTTAGTATTGATCTGTCCAAATAGAGTCTGCATTTATCATTCTCAAGCACATTTTCCGGCAGATATTGATAGTATACATACGGTTTGGTTTCTGTTGGGATTTGGTAGAGTTTAACCAGATTCAGGTGAACTATTTTGGCCACACAGTTATGCCTATGGAGGTACTCAGTAGATGTTAGTACTGTACATCCTGCTGTTATGTGTTGAATGGTTCCTGAAGCTCGGTTGCAGTTTCGGCATTTATCATCGACGATTGCAGGGTCGCGGATCACGTATTTTTTATAATTTGCTGTGGGTATAACCATATCTTGTATAGCCAAATAGAAACCTTCAGTCTCTGGAAAAAGTTCCCCCCGTACAAGCCACAGATTTGATGCCTCAGGGTCCACATTATCGGCCGACAGCTCATAGGGATGTTTTCCGTGCAATGCCTTCCGATTCCATGCTGCAATAAGTTGATTATTTCGCTCAACTTAAGTGGGTGTTGTGGTTTCCATTTTAGCAGAGTGAAGGTTTGGTTTAATGGAGTGTAACCTTGGTCAATTTTTATCACTGCCTTGTATAGAGCGTTTGTGTCTTGGTTGAATAAAAAGTATTTTCGCAGGTTATCAATAAGTAGTTGGTGCATGTACTCCATGTCAATAAGGCCTCTACCACCGTGCTTTCTGGGTAAGATTACCCGTTCAACAGCGGCTCTAGGATCGATGACCAACCCGGTACTTAGTTAGAATCATTCTCGTTTTCCTCTCTATTTCTTCTCTATTGGTTTTAGTCCACTTTATGACACCAAAAGTGTACGTCAATCGGAATCGCATAGGTATTTATGGCTTTAAATGTGTTCTTGGAGTTTAATTTAGCCTTCAGAATATCGTTGATCCTCTTTGTATAAGTTTCTGTCACCTGTTGCTTTATTACTTTGTGCTCAGTTCTCACTGATTGCTGCATGCCTAAATATTTGTACGTTTCGCTCTCAATTAATGGTTCCAATGTTTTCCCATCTTGCGTTTCGTACGGACTTGTTGCGTGCTTGCCCTTGATCACAGTTTGCGTTCTGCACTTGTCGAGACCAAAGTCCAAGTGAATATATCGTTGGAGATTGGAGAATATCTCCACGGTTCTGAGTAGCGATTCAACGTGTGTTTTAGTGCCAGCGTATAGTTTGATGTCATCCATGTACAGGAGATGGGTGATTTTGTGCAGTATCTCCTTTCGGTATTTGATTGAGAATCCATGGTCACTCGTATTTAGAAGTTGAGAGAGTAGGTTAAGCGATAAACAAAACCATAGGGGACTTAACGAGTCTCCTTGAAAGATACCCCTCTGTATTCTTATTGGGTCTGTGCTTATGTTGCTTGAATTAGAGGTGACTATACTAAACTGGGTGGACCAGTTATTCATTAGGTACCTACTGTAGTATGCCACGAATATTATCGCTGATTTTATACAGTTCTAGGACTTTAAGCATCCATGAGTGTGGCACTGAGTCAAATGCCTTCCGATAATCTATGTAGGCTGTAAAGAGATTTTTATGTTCTTGTATCGCTTGTTCTAGGATTGCTGCATCCATGAGAAGTTGCTCTTTACAACCTTGTGATTTTTTAATGCAACCTTTCTGTTCAAGGGCAATTATATCGTGCAACGGACAGTGTTTGTGTACTTTGTACCACTGAACATGCAATGTTACGAAAGCCTAATGCAATATTACTCTGATATGCTCTGATCTTAGTTTCGCAACATTACAATGTAATATTGAATTATTTTTGACACAACATTACGTTGATAAATTACAAAATGGAATATCCTTGAAATTTTAACGCATATTAGAAATTATAACTTGTACGCAAATTAACATTGTAAATATGCATTTAAATTGAACTGGTATAATTTTTGCAATGTTATAATAACTACCACATGTAAACTTGCTGCAAAATTGGAAATATAACTTGTAGGTAAGGTTACATCGCAAAGATGCCTTAAAGTTGTGTTGATATTATTTTGCAATGTTATAATTTAATATTGAATGTAAACTTGCTGAAGCTTTGCCACCATTAATAACGATCGGAACGACATCGGGGATACGAACTAAACCGAAAGCAAATCGACGCCATCAAGTCGCTGTTTGTCGTTTGAGCTCAGTGCTGTGTCTGCTTGTTGAATGTTGTGTCTGTGATAAAGCGAATCTCGGCTAAATTTTTGGTGTTTGTGTTTGGATTATGTATTGGATCGGTTCAGGTAGTGCTTTGCTTTTTGGTTATTTTTATTATTCAGTTTTTATTCTAGAACCTGTGGAAATGAAATAAATATACAGCGATTACAATGGATGAGGATTCAAATAAGGTGAGTAAGGTTTGCATAGTCAATAAATACTTTTTACAAAAATACTGCGGAATGGGGCCACTTTTTTGTAAACAGTAACCTCTTTTTTTTCATACCTACAAATCCCGTATTATTATTATATTAGTTATTATGATTTTACGATAATATTTTAGTTAGGATCAAAAATATCGTAAACCGTTTGGTAGGTAATGTCCAGAAAGAAAGTGGCTACGACAGGGAATAATTATTATAATAAAAATACAGAGAACTACTCCCTGATTTTGTTTTTGTTTCAGGTGACAATATAAGTAGCAGCTGTGGTAGCAGCCAGTACCTACTTCGTCCTTTGTGTCAACCAATCTAAAATTTCGCTTTTGTTTCTGTTTAGAATTTTTATTTATTTTGCTTTGAGATATTACTTTTTACGTTTTGTTTTTCACCTAAGTATATTTTTTTATTGTGAGTATTATAGATATACATAATATACCAACCTTTTTATTTTGTTTTCCAAAAACTTGTACTTTTATTCATAATAAAATATCTACCTAATATGATTATGGGTTTCAGGCACAAATTTTAATAGCTTGTTTTTAGAACAAGCTGTTAGAGTTTATGCACCACAACTCAAATCTCTCTGTATAGGTACATAGTATTTACAGTTGCAAACATTACTTTTTTATTGTAGTAAAGTTGCGAACCCAATATATTTGTAATAAAAATGCATTATTGCAGTAAACTTACTAATAAATTGCAAGTAACCCTAAGGTATATTTGAATTTGTAACCTTACACTCGTAAGTTTGCTGAAGTTTTGATCTAATATTGCTGGAAGGTTATCATTTATAAACCTTGCATTTGTAATATTACCCTAAGGTTGTTTCAGTACTTGCCGCAATACTGCGTCAACATTACAGTAAACTTCAATATAACCTTACAAGTTTGCAGTGTAATGTTACCTCATTATTACTGTAATCTTATTTTGTTCAGTGGATTACTTATGCAAAGCATGCATAGTAAGTAATTTGTAGATTCTCGGGAGGCACGTGATGGGCCTATATTTTGCAGGATCTTCGGTGTTTTTGTCTTTAGGTAACAAATATGTGGTGCCGTATGTAAAGAAGCGCGGGGTCTTAGATGGATCTATCATTCGTTGAATCCTTCGGCTATTCCTTTATGTTATGGGTACTCTTATTTCTTGTACCAGAATATTTGAATTTTGTCTCCGCCTGCCGCTTTCCAGTTATTATTATTATTATTATTATTATTACATAAATCCTTATTATTTTAATTTTTTCCATCATTTTTGTAGGAAAATTTAAAGATTCTAAAAACTTTGAAAAATCAAATTATTCAAATTTGCCTCCGGCAATTCTCAGATTATGGCGTCTATGGCGTTTCCACGCACACAGGTGTATTTCCATCTTTTTCTCTCAGCCTCTAAAAGAAACAGATAGAAATACATTTTCTATCTGTCAAAAAAAGTGAGGTTAGTTTTCTTGTTTTTTAATTTTTAAATTCCTTCAAAACTTTATTGGGCGTTTTTTTTTAAATCACAGTCATTAATTAATAATAAATCATCCAGAGTCATCGATTTTGCTATCTTTTGATCAAGTACTACCCAATTAGGCGTGTCATCAACTAATTATGTCTTTACCAGAGGTACTAAGCAAGATTTTCAAGTGAGTACTGAGCAATATACAACAAAAGGGCCTCAATTTTAAATTAAAATCAAATTACAGACAAGTTGAATCGAAAAAACAGACTTACATTGATTTGTTAAGAGAGGCGGTGGCTATTAAGTCGGTATCGGCATGGCCTCACACTCGACAAGAAATCGTTAGAATGATGGAATGGGCTCAGGTAAGGTTGCAAAAATTAGGGGCCACAACAGAGCTAAGGGAAATTGGTACGAATTATCATAAATAATCCCAATTGCAAAGTAATAATTGCCTTATATGATAGGCAATCAGCAATTTCCTGATGGCACTGTTCTTAAATACCCTCCAATATTGTTGGGCAAACTTGGAAACAACCCCAACAAAAAAACCGTGCTGGTTTATGGTCACTTGGACGTCCAACCTGCTCATCTTTCAGATGGCTGGGACAGTGAACCATTTGAACTTACAGAAAGGGATGGGAAACTTTATGGAAGAGGGTCTTCAGATGATAAAGGTGAATTGTATAATTCAAACAAAAAAGTGGCCCTATTTTAACAATAATTTAATACTGCAATTTAGGTCCAGTATTATGTTGGATGCACGCAATAGAATGTTTCAAAGATTTAAACGAAGAACTACCTGTCAACTTAAAATTTGTTTTCGAAGGTAATCAACTTGAATTTCAAAAAAAAAAAAAAACTTGCAATCAGCCAATCTTTTTAGGTATGGAAGAGAGTGGTAGTGAAGGCCTAGATGATCTTCTTCTATCAGAAAAAGACAAATTTCTAGTAGGCACTGACTACGTATGCATCTCTGATAACTATTGGCTAGGAAAAAACAAACCGTGCATTACTTACGGCCTTAGAGGTGTTTGTTATTTCCACATAGAAGTCACAGGAGCTGGCAAAGACTTGCACAGCGGCATTTACGGTGGCACAGTAGCAGAAGCCATGACAGATTTAGTGTATTTAATGAACACTCTTGTGGATAAAGATGGCAAAATTTTAGTCGAGGGGTTGTATGATGATGTGGCTCCTATGCTGGAGAATGAAAATGAGATTTATGAGAAAATCGATTTTGATGTTGATGAGTATAGGGGTGATGTAAGGTGTCAGAAATTGTTACATGATGAGGTTAAGGAGACTATTTTGATGCACAGATGGAGGTATCCTGCTTTGAGTCTACATGGAATAGGTAATGGAAATTATGTTAACAAATTTTATGGGTTTTAAATGATTTTTTTCAGAGGGTGCTTTCAGTGAGCCTGGTCAAAAAACTGTCATTCCAGCTAAAGTAATTGGCAAATTTTCTATAAGAATTGTGCCCAATCAAACACCAGCTAAAATAGAAGAGTATGTTTGCAAATACATTCAGAAACTGTGGGATCAAAGGGGCAGTCCTAATCATATGAAGGTAAAAACTTGGTTTTTCTTGTGTAAAACAAATAAACAAAACCTATTATGTAGAGATAAAGATACATTTCTTTTCTTATCAAAAACATGCCAAACAGGAACTGTTGAAGCAAAATCACATAACGTAATCAGCAGAAACATACTCACCAAAAATACTTACCTATGGAGTTTCTGGGACTTCAACTAATCTTTTAAAGTCGAAATCTCCACATAAAAATGTTGGAAATTTTACCATTTTGGAAGGATCAAACTTCATAACAACAAGCAATTTATTTCCCAGCCAGAACATACTAAATAGAAAATTATCTTCAAAATAGGGTTTTGATTTCATTTTCGGCTCTGAATAATTGCAGGGTTAAGAGAAATTGCCAGCATTTCCATTTAAATATGAACTAATCGAAATAGATTATACACTATTAGAACGAACATTGAATTCTTTATAAATCTGTGCTGAATTGAGTTTTATAACTCAAATACTTTTTGAACAATTGAGCTTCAAAGTTGAATTTTAATAAAAAACTACAAACTCAATTTTCTCAAAGACTATAAATCTGAAGATATTTTCCAGTACAGCTTGATAGGAGCCACAATTCCAGAAAATTTTGATTCAATATCTCTCACGGATTTCAAGATATTGAAGCTTAAAGATTTTGAATCAAGAATCCAAAGGGGGGTACTCTTTGAAAAAAATGGGAATTTTCAGTTTTTATATTTTTCGAGTTTTGACTTTTACAATCAATAGAACAGGTTCAAAAATTGGAAAAGAACCCAAGAATTAACATAGGCAAATATTCGAAGGGAAAACATGGCATTATAAGACATTTGAATTTTTATCTTCAAATCCAATAATGATAAAAATTTGAAACCTTTGAGGTTTTTAGAAGAAGATTGAAAGGATCTTTTAGCAAAATTTCAAGCTGATGGATTCAAAACTGGAAAAGATCCCAAAACTCAACTTTGTCAAAAATTCAAAGGAAAAACATGCATTATGAGACAGATGAATTTTTATCTCAACATCCAATAGTGATAAAAATTTAAAACTTTTGTAGTTTATAGAATAAGGTTAGAAGGATCTTTTAACAAAATTCCAAGCCGATCAATTCCGACAATTCCAAATTAAAGATGATCCCAGAAATAGGTAAAGATCCCAGTAATTCACTTTCATTTGGCAAACATTCAAAAGGGAAAAATGCATAATGAGACAATAGGTTATTAAAAAACTTAAAAGTAAATATCTAGCTAAGATTAAAAATACAGTATATAACAATAGAACAAAAAGAGGTACCTACCTTGCATTAAAACATCACAAACATTGGTCGCGTTCACCAGTACTCAACATGTTGAGTGATTAGTAAACGGCTTTGTTCCAACAAGTGGAATACACAAGGTAGAACAGTTCTGATTGGTCTAGAGCTGATTTTCATCTATTTTCAACAAAGCCGTTAACTAATCACTCAACATGTTGAGTGCTGGTGAACGTGACCAATATCACGTAGGTTTCAATGGCAACTACAATAAAGCATAATATATTGATTGATTGATTGAACTACCCAAAAAGCTTTAACTTGAGATTCATTTTAAAAGATATTAAACTTGTTGAGAATAAATCTAGGTTACAGACAATAAAGTGTAAGTTAGCAAACTTAATCATTCTCACCAAAGGTTAATTCTGACTGTAATTTGTTCTACATCTACAATATGGAACATCCCAGATTTATTTTATGTAACATAAAATAAATTTGGGTTTCTGAGCCTACGAGCAGGACGCAGGTACATTAAATTTGATTTTTGGAAGAATTGCTGGAGAACTAGAGAGATTATTAACAATTTTAAATAACGTCAAAATATCTGCCAAAGTTCGTTTTTTCTCCAGTTCTAAAATTCTAAAGTGAGATCGCACCAATGAGTAATCATGATCCACTCTATGGAAATTGGTTTTATAGTATAGGAATCTTGAAAAATTATATTTTGTATTTTCTCCAATCATATTCCATATGATTAAGGCAAGTTGTAGTTTACTGAAAACATATGAATAATAAAGTGTTTTTATTTTATGGCCTCAGAGTTATGAAAAACAGCACATTGTCTTTCGATAAAGCCCAACATTCTGTTACACTCATTAACCAGTTTATCAATGTGTATTTTTTTTATAGATCAAATATCATTTTGGAGTCACATAGCACACCTAGATCTTTAATGTGAGAAACCCTATTCAAGGAAGTAATTCCAGCTTATAGTCATAATTAATAATCGTCGATCCACGATAAAAAAAAAACATCATAGAGCATTTATCTAAGTTTAAAAAAAGTTGAAACTCACAGAATTCTACCAAGTTGTTGATACTGTTTTGAATGTTTTCACAGTCTAAAATAGAGTTGAACCTGGGAAAGATTTTCAGTTCAAGCTCTTCAAAGCTTCCAGAACTTCAGTTACATTTAACAATCTTACACAAAGACTTACTATTAATTTCCTGAGAGTACCTTTCTGTTCTCTTTCTAGAAGCCTTTGGGACATACACACTCTGAAAAAAATCAGAAAGCAACCCACAGATACCAGCGCTGTCCCCTCGTTTGACTTTCTGTTTGAAACAAAATGCCAAAATTTTTTGCTGTTACTTGATATTTCATTTTCTTTATTAAATATAATATATCTCTGAGTCAGTGCTAATATGTCTTTTAGTTTCAGACCGAAGAAGTTTAAAGGCATTGTAGTCATTTATGTTTTTGGTCATCTTCCACTTTTTGTGTAGTTTGTTCTTTTTAAAGTTTTATGTGTGTTTCGAAAAATATAGGGGAAATGTATTATTTATGCTTTTCAAGGGGACTATATCTAGTATAATTTTATTTATCATGTCATAAAACTATTATGTTTTAGAATAGATGATTAGTCAAACAAACTCAGACTATTGCAGATATCTGTGTAGTTTGCCTGTTTGAAGTTTTTAAAGTGTCTAATGTTAAAGTTAGATTTTAATTGAGTACCAGGATAGTCAAGAAGGAACTCCAGAGAAGGGGTGATTAATGTTTTCATGCAGCAAAAAACTGCTAGCATGAATTAAATTATTTATAAGGAATCCACTACAAAATACCAGATCCAAAAGCCTATTATTTGAATTGCGTATGCTATTAAATTGCATAAGGCCGCTGTGAGTAAAAGTTTGTAACAAATCACAGTATTTCAAGGGTACATCAAATGATTCGAAGTGTCCTTCATTTTCAAGCCAAACAATTTTTGAATAGTTAAAAGCTACACAAATCAAAACTGGATGATCTTTTATTCTCTCCAGGTTTAGTCTTAATTTTGACAAAAAACAAATAAAGTTAACATCTTCATTATGTGGTAAGTAAACACAACACAAATATATCTTGACATTACCCACAGTCAAAAGAGTGTGACCTCTATGGTGTGACACAAATCACCCAATCATGTCAACATTATACTCATATTATACTGAAAACAGCCCTTGGGTTGTTTTCACTCTATGACATTGCCTTAGACATTGCTGTCCAAAAAAATTCTATCCAAATAACCCTCGCACATTGATAAATACTCAATAATTTTATAACAGCTTTCTCAAGCTTGTTGCTTATAGAAAACAGACCTCCGCTGACGCGTCGGTCTGTTTTCAAGCAACTGTCAAATGACAATCTAAGGTCTTTCAATTTTGTGCGACACTCTTGAATATTCTGTACGTTGACTAATAATGAGGAAGCCATTGCAAATCATAAAGCCTCTTTTTTATTTTATCTTTTATTTATTCTTATTATCTTTGCACTTTGCACTAAAACCCATGGACTTACAGATCTTTAAGGTCATCCTCGTATAGTATTCTGTTAGCCTCTGAAGTAGGTTTTTTCTTCACGTAAACAATGCCACTAAAGGTGTAGGCACCATTAATTGTTTTCTGTCTCTCCATATCGCGTGCCAGTTTGAATAACTTCTGGGTTTCCATAGAGAAATCCTCATTGAAGTGAATGGCACTACCCAGTAGACCGCAAAATTCAGTATACACTTTGCGTTTTTTAAATAATGCGATCCTTTCTATTTTAATGTTTAGTTTAACCAAGGTAGGAGAGTTATCCTTTTCTCTAAATCTAATGCATTGTTTTACCTGCAAGGACTCAAGGTTTAAACGCTTAAATATGGCATTAACAGTTTCAGGTAGGTTCACAGAGTCTTGGCATTTCACACCCGAACTTATTACGTTGGTTTCCTTTTCTCTTTGCTCAGAATAGTCTACTTTAGTTTCTAGTTTTCTGATACACTCCTTCAAGATAGTGCTCTCCTTATCAATTGCTTTTAAAGTGTCTAAAGTTTTCTTTAATTCGTTTTTTTGATCCTCGAAACAATCAGGAATGGGAATGAACTTTGCAGACTCTTTAATTTCATTTCATTTTTTAGCAAAATTTCAAGCTGATTGATTCACAATTGAAAAAGATCCCAGGAATCTCAAAATCCAATAATGATAAAGATGTGAAACTTTTAGAGTCTATAGGAAGAAGATTAGGAGAATCTTTTAGCAAAATTTCAAGCCGTGAATCATTACAAAGTTAAGAAAAATTGCCAGTATTTTCATTTGAATTCAAACAAATCAGAAAACACCATTAAAAACAGCAGTGCTAAATTGAGTTTGATAGCTCAAATACTTTTTGAGCATTTGAGCCTCAAACTTGAATTTTGATCGAAATCTAGTCACAAACTTCAAAGTCAGTTTTCTCAAAAACTATAAACCTGGGAAGTATTTTCCAATATAGGTTTTTTAGAGCCTAATAATAAATAATAATAAATTTATTCTCAACAAATAATTGACAATTTTAGATTTCAATCAATTTAAGGAGTACACAATGGAGCACAAGCTCTGTGTGTGTACGTTGGTGTGCTATCTATATACTTATTTAATTACATCATATAACATTATATTGTATTATATTATATCATTCCAAAACCTAATTTATTTTACAACAGCAGAAGAAAGATAAAGGGCTCAAGTCGATCTCATACAATTTTGCATATACTTGACTATAACATAAATATAAATATATATAATATAAATATAATATAAATACGCTACCAGTAAGAGGATTTGTAGAACGTCTCTCAAAATTCCAGTATTTCAATGATTTACAAGTTTTAGATAACGAAGGCAATGTTGTTTTCAATCAACCAGATTTTCAATTTTTTTGTAGGGACAACTTTTTAGTTCTTTAGGGAACATATTGTAAATTTTCGGGACCGTATATGTAAGGCTTCTCTAACATTTTGTAAGTCTGGCATTTGATGCCATATTCCCAACTTGCCAGGTCGAGAGTCCATGATTTACTATTTGTATGTGCGTTTTATTTTTAAAAATATATCTAACCACAGTGTCAATGTATATCTTATATCTGATTGATCTGTAACACTTCTGCTTCCCTAAATAATTCACTTGAGGAAAACATCTTGTTTTTGTAATGTATATTTTTTAATATGCACTTCTGGGTTATAATGAGCGGTTCCAACACATACCGACAGGATGCCCCCCAAGCCAAAATGCAATAACTTATCACCTATAGACTCCACAGTAGCACAGTAAACCATTTTGAGTGTTTTTAGTTTCATGAATTGTCGGAGCTTCAAAAGAGAAAATAGGAAATTTGAAAAAACTAGACTTTGAATGACTTCTTTGAATTTGCCTAACTAGCCCTCTCTGAGGAAATAAGATGGCTTGGCTCAGAAAATATAAATTTAGAAAACGCAGTTATCTTCTGTAGCGGTAATAACCGAAACGTACATTTGCAATAAAGAAAAACCTGCTGAGCTCAGTCCTAAAATTTAAACCCCTGAGAGAACGATTATGCTACCTAAAGATGAAAGGAACATTCTATAACTACTCCTTACTGTCTGGACCAGGTCCAGATGAGCTCCTATCAAAATTACTTCATGTAATCCTCGATGTAATCATCAGTAGGATGATTTTTGTAAGCCTTTATGCCATTGATATTCAAATCCACTATTAATTTTAGGTATTTATGGTTGACGGTGGTCATCCTTGGACTGAAAACCCATCCCATCCTCACTACTCGGCTGCCATCAAGGCCACCAAGCATGTCTACAACATCGATCCGGATTTGACCAGGGAAGGTGGCTCTATTCCGGTTACTTTGACGTTACAGCAAGCCACCGGTAAAAATGTACTTTTGTTGCCGGTAGGAGCGGGCGACGACGGGGCCCATTCCCAAAACGAGAAGCTGGACATAAGGAATTATATTGGAGGGGTAAGTAAGATTGATTTTTGATTTTATGTTTTATTGATTTTTTTTTTTTAGGTGAAGTTGATGGCTTCCTATCTCTATGAGGTTGCGCAATTGGCATAATTATTATTATTATTATTATTATATAAAAGTATTTTTATACAAATAAATATTGTTTAATAATAATGGTCTACTGTTATTTGGTCATGAAAATTAAAATAATTACAGTTATAATTATGTGATTATTAACTCATATAGAATGTTTGATTGCGTAAAATTTATTCAAAGTTTAAATTTCCACAATTATTAGATAACAAGCAGTTTGCATTGATTGCATTTTTTGACACTCTGTATGCATTAAAAAGAACGCAAGTTCATACATAATTTATCTTCCTGCTGATAATGAGTAATAATTATCAGATATTACTGTTGCGGTCAAGTGCATAATTGTCGCTCGTTTAAGTTTTTCGTCATTAAAAGGTAATTTTACCTATATGCATGCGATATTTTTGTTTGTTTCCTTGGCGATATTCTCAAATTTTCTGCTAGAGTGGCTAGAAGACCACATAAGAACAAAACTTGATTATTATTATTTCTTTTTTTCTGGTTTATAGCGTCTTACGCCAGTCTCCAACCCCTTCTGTCTTCCCAATCTCCTGGATGTAATTCCCGCCCCGACATAGGTTTTTGTATAAAAACGAACCATGTTGCTTTAGGTCTTCCTCGTTTCCTTCTTTCGTGGGGTGTCCATTTCATTACTAATTTAGGAAGCCGTTCGTCATTCATTCTTTCTATGTGACCATACCATATCGGTTGCTTTTTTTGTATTTCGTCTATTATTGTTTTTTCTACTTACATGATTTCTCTTATTCTTTCGTTTGTTATTCTTTGCATTCTCGATTCTCCTGCAGATCTTCTCCAAAAGTCCATTTCAAGTGACATGAGTCGTCTTTCTAGGTTTTTCGTTAATTGTCACATTTCGCATCCATATAAGATTATGCTCTGGAATATAGTCTTATATATAAGCCGTTTTCTGTCACGTGATATATGATTTGACCATAGAATCGAGTTTAGACATCCAATTACCCTTTTTCCTTTTACTATCCTATCTTCGATCTCGGCTTCTGTTCTGCCTCTGTCTTATATCTATCTGGAACTAGATGCTAGTTGAGCAATATAGTGAGTTGAATTATGTTATTTTGTGGGCTGGTAGTAATGATTTTTCTAAAAACAATTATCCTAGCATGAGAGTTGTTTTGCAGAAAATTCGGCAGTGTTCTTATACTAATTTAATATTTCTGTCGACGCCTATAGCACCTTATACAAGAAATAAGAATAGCATACTGAAATTTAATAATAAATTGCAGTGGCGTAACTTCAAATCTGGGGCCCCCCGCAAGGATTTTCCCGGGGCCCATCTTTTATGTGTATATAGTTTTTTAATTTTTCTTTATACAGGGTGTCCGTTTTAGGTGATACCACTATTATTGCTATCTCCGAAACGGTAAGAGGGACGAGGTCGGTTAAATTAGATAAAAGTGGCAAATTTTAGTATTCATTGAAGGTACCTAAGTTCACAGGGTTGCCAAATCTTTGTACGTTTCCGAGATATAAGGGAAATGTAAAAAACATTTAAAATTATTTAATGAATATTTCAAAATCAATCAACTTTAGAAAAAAGTGTTCAATGCAAAAGATCCAAGATTCTTTCTTCTTTACAAAATGGCGTTTGTATCTTCACACAACTTCTAATTGTGTTTACATTTTACCTCAGAGTCTTTATATCTCGAAAACAAAACAAAAATTGGCAACCTTGTGAACTTATTACCTCCACTGTTTATTAAATTAATTTACCCCAACCTCATACCTCCTGTTTCGGAGATAGCAATAGTGGTATCACTTAAAACGGACAGTTAATTTTGCATATCTGAGTATGTCTGAACATTTCCCTCTGAATTTCTTACATTGGTTAGACCAGACATACTTTCTCAATGGTTGATATGAGGTTTATAGGTTGAAGTATTTTCTTTCAGTTAAGTACTACTCTTGTCACCAGTTTAGTACTTTCGTCTGGTTTAGGGCCCCGCGGGGCCCCCAAGATCACGCCGGAGCCCCCCGCAACTGCGGGCCCTTAGTTACGCCACTGATAAATTGGGAGCATTTTTGCATAAATTTAACCACCTTTCGGATAGATTAGTATCCTTTATTGATACAAACATTAATCAGGAAAAAATGAGCAATGGCAAAATTTCTGAATAAATTAGATATGCATGTCCTATATGAAAATAAAAACTCCCTTTTTAAAACTCTCATTCACAACCGTGTTTTCTGCATTAAGTCATGATAAACTCAAATCGCCCATTGCATATGAAGTGAATCATGAGCCAAGTCAGGATACAGAGTTCCAGCAACTTAACGTAATTATCAGGAGTCAGATCATTTTTTTCAGGAGACTCAAATATTATTGAATTCACCTTAACTTTGTTGAATATACAGTCAGTTCGCAACAAATTGAATGAATTGAATATTTGTTTTTAAATGAGATTCAGTATCCTGATTTTGTACTACTAACAGAACACTGGCTCAATGAACATGAACTAATGTTCTTGCAGGATTATACGATTCTTTCTAGTTATTGCAGACAAGAAACTACACATGGAGGCACACTTATTCTAATTCTAGCTAGGAAAAAACTACTCGAGAATCATACCTTTACAAGTATTGTCAGTTTTAATTATCTAATAGTGGAGAGTTTGAATTTTCAATAATTTTTAGCTTGAAACTGCAATTATACATTATATGTGTTTATAGACCTCCTGGCGGCCATGTACCTATACTGTTTTTTGAATAGTTTAGGATTTCTTCTTTCTTTGTTGTCTGTGAAAGCTTTTGTATTATTGTCGGGGGATTTTAATGTAAATCTACTGGAACTGGAGGCAAGCTCTGGAAGTACTCAATCGTTATTGGCATTGCTAAACCCATTCAACCTTAATGTGGATTCGCCGATTCTCCTACTCGTATAACTTCTGAATCCGCTACAATAATTGATTATATTTATTCAAATTTTGATAGAGATAGGATAATATGTAATACTATTAATGCAGGTTTATCCGATCACGAAGCAATAAATTGAAAATTTTTAGTTAGGATTGACAAATGTACGTCGATTGAAAAATGTAAGAAATACAGAAGAGTTTACAGCAAAAATAATTTTAATAAATTCATTAAATAATGCAATGATTTTGTATGGGTAAGTGTCTTGCTGTTTGATGATCCTCTTGAAGAGTTTCATAAAAATCTAATTAATGTATTCAATTCTGCGTTTTCCTCGATACTTAAAAAAGTTAAATGTGAACAAAGACCATGGTTTACAGAAGGTCTCAAGATTTCATCAAGGAACCTGCGCAAGATAAGCACTAAGAGGGATTGTCGAGAATATATTATGAAAGATGTCAGCATCTCAGATTCATTTGTGTTGTTTCCTACAGATCATTTAGAACTGAAGAGTATTTTCAACAAATTGGCAATAAAAATTCGTATGGCTGGGATGAGATTTCCATTAGAGTTTTTTCACATTTGCCTGATCCAGCACTGAGCTTTCTTGCGGATTGCATTGATTCTTCTTTTGAGTCCGGCAGCTTTCCATCATGTTTAAAAAAAGCAATAGTTATACCTTTACACAAGGGAGGAGATTCCAATGCCCCATGAAATTATAGGCCAATATCCCTCTTGCCGACCCTATCAAAGATTATCGAAAAGTTTGTAAAAAAACGTCTTGAAAAACACCCTAATAAACATAATTTGCTTTCATCAGAGCAATTTGGATTTCGTGAAAAAAGGAGTAGGTACTAACGATGCAATATTTTCATTTCTTCAGGGATTATACTTGAGAATAAATGATGGGAAGGAAGCGACAGCGGTGTTCTGTCAAAAGCTTTTGATTGTGTGTGTCGCAGAATATTGCTGTGGAAACTTGAGAGGTATGGGGTTAGGGGCACTGCTCTGGCGTGGTTTGCCTCCTACTTAACTGACCGACTTCAAAAAGTAAACTTCAATAACAACTCTTCAGACTACCTGAAAGTTGTAAGTGGAGTGCTGCAGGGTTCTGTCCTTGGGCCGTTACTATTTCTCATTTATATCAATGATTTGACTAGATTGGATATTGAGGGTCTTTTTACACCTTTCGCAGATGATGCGACAATCTTTTGGTTTAGTGAACTCTCAGCGGAACTTGAAGCTATTGTAAGTCAGGATATTATAAAAGTCAAAGGCTGGATGGGTGCGAATCTTTTGACCTTAAATATCACAAAAACTAATGTTCTATCATTTAAATGTAATATTGGTGAAATTATTTTAGACGACCAATCACTGTCGGGAGAAAATGTCAGTAAGTTTCTGAAAATGCATATTGACCACAAGTTTTGAAGTTCGAGCTTCACATATTTCATTTGGCTAAGAAAATATCTTCCAATACTTATGTGATTAGAATATTGTCAAGGGAACTAGATTTGCCAACTGTTAAAAATACATATTTTGCCATTATTGAGTCTTGTTTTAGATATGGCATTTGCTTCTGGGGATGTTGTGCCCAATATTTATTTGTTTTACTCTTCGTATTATAAAAAAGAGTAATTCGTTACATGTTTAGGGCAAACTAGGTATAGAGATTCATGTAGATCTTTAATTGTTTTTGGCACACAGATTGTTGACACTGTTTTGCTTGTTTTTATTGGAAACTGCTGGTCTAGTCTACAAAAACTATCCTAAACATGAAATTATTGTACAGAATACACAACACCCGTCAAACATACAAACTTTCATTGCCGATTCCAAAATCGACACAGATTCAAAATTCAATTATATATAAAAGTAAAAAAATCTTTAATCACCTTCCCTTAAAAATAAGAAGATTGAAAATAAGAAAAAATTGAAAAAAAGAAGTGAAAACTCTCCTGACTTCTAAAGCATATTATTCTGTAATTTCTAAACGACTCATTTAATTGAAATTTGTTATTTTGTTTCTATCAGGGTTTGAGTAAACTGTTTGAGTTGTTGCATTTTATTTATAGTTTTGTCTTAGCTGTAATTTTATTTTATCACCTTACATGTATTGTGCAACTTGAATTTTTCGTTTGCTAAAGTGTTTGTTATATGTTATTTATATTAACTTTTTAACCTAA